CCGCTGGGGCCCCCTCAGCAACGTGGCGCCTCTGCGCCGCGGGCGGGGTCGTTCAGCGAGCAAATAACGGTATCGGGGGCGATCAGCGCTGCTGGCCGTCACCCACTGCCTTCTTTAACGGCCCGGCTAAAGGAGCGGACTCTTCTAATTAAGCAGTTAGATTATTCTGCTTTTGAAAAAAATTTTTTGGACCGAGATGGTCTGTACGGAATCAGCGCAGTAGGAGGGAAAATGTATTGTTTTCTGGTGCATACTGATATTTTCAATTTAAATAATTCACAGCGCGCTGCATGTAATTGCCCTTTTTCTACTGATCTTTCTTATTTGAAAATTTAAAACGGTAGTTTGCTGATTCGGGGGTTTGGGGCGTTTTCTGAAGTGTAGTAACTAGTTTAGTTAAAACTGCTAAAAGCAGAACGTCTCGTCTTTGGTGTCTTTAGCAGTGAAAGCTGCAAGTAACATTTGTGTAAGTTTTTCAATAGCTGTATCCCAGTTTGCCTCTTACTACCTGTTACACCTGTGCAGGGGGACTGATTTCGGAAATCAGTTTGGGAGCTGTCCGTCGGTAGTTTTTTGTTCAGCACTGGTCTGTGTAAAGGTACAGTAACAAAGGATTTAGAGCAGGAGGATGCTGGGGGCTTGTTTGCAAATATCTGTGGTAACTGTAGTATAGCAAGTCGTTTGCAGTGCGTGACATAGGAATTGAGATACAGTTTTAGAAAGCAGAAATCCAGCCCCTCAGTTTTTCCTCTGGACACTGCAGATTTTGCCCCCTTCTTTCTAGAGGGGAAAGCCTCCATTTCGAAAAGTGATCAGTCGTGGCGAGTTTGTAGCAGTTACAATCAGTCTTACAGCTCACAAGTTCGGAGCTATTTTGATTTTTCCTGTGTCGTTTTTGTACAATCCTTGTCGTTTTTGAATCCTGTGTCATTTTTGTAACAGCTCTTCATGCCACGTGGAAAGTAAACAGTATAACATGTGTCTTTCCGTTATCAGTTAGTATCGCCACGTGGTGGTGTTGTCCCCTGTGTCCCCTAAATAAATATTGTAAATATTGACACAGGCCAAAGTCCTCCAAATGAGAAACTGCAAAAATGTACTCCACCACCATAGTAATAGTTTTTTTTTTAAGCCTTGATATATCAGAGCTAGTCGGGAGTACAGCCCTAAAGGGCACAGTAAAATTCAGCAGGGATCTGGCTGTTGGCGCCAGAAGAAGCCACACCCCAGGTAACTGCCACACTGTGCACAGTGTACATATTGCTCTGATTGCTGAAAGAGGCCTGTGTTGAAATGAATGAAGAAAATAGTAAATAAAAGGTTTGACCAGCGGTTTTAAAGCTTCCTTACCCTTGTAAGAACGTGAATTAGGTTTTCTCCTGCATACGTGTCAACTTTAGTGAACGTGGTCATAATGCAGGATGAAAGAATTATTTATATTATAAATACATATATAAGATATAAGATAGCTAGGAAAAGTAGAAAAAGAAAAGTCAAAAAGGCACTTCAGTGTTTTGCAGGTATAGTTTCTATAAGATATCATTTCTTTCCCTTTTTCCAGTGATAGAGTTTATTATGTTGCTTAACAGAGGTACATGACATCATTACCACAAATGCTTGAGAAAAACGATAGTAAGAGGAGGGCTTCTACCTTTCTATTTTGATATGCAGATTATTTGAAATTCCCTAATTACAGCTACTTCAGTTAGCTCTCTTGCACAGTCTGAAGAACTATGCAAAACTGCAATGCAGAAAATGAATGTTACCCTAAACTGGAGAATGCCAGTAGGACTAGACAAAACTGGTGAGCACAAGTGGCTTTTCTCCCCTGCACAAACAGAACGTCCCCAAGTCCCCTCACCAGTTGTGTCTAAGGTAGCACTGGCACAGTCCTGTAGCTACTTGGCTGCTTTAGGGCCTTGGTGTTGGAGGCCCTGACGTGCACCTTTATACTTTAAAGATATCTTAAACGGGGCCTTTTTCTGCACTTGCTGAAGATAGATGTAGCAGGCACAAAGGACAGCTGATCAGACAGATGGAAGAGAGAGAGCGAAACTGGGATAGAAATAGAGAGTAAATACCTTATTCCCAGCCACCTACCTAAGTTCCTTTCAGCTCCTTTTAATGCCTTTCTTCTACATCTGTCTGCGTCACGGAAACTGGATGCACGTCTTTGGCCAGGCCTTTAGCTCAGCTCCGTATCTCAAAATTTCCAGTGCACAGAGCAGAGCCCTCCCTGTGAAACTCCTGAAGGGAAATGTCTGACAAAATGTGTGATCCAGCCCTGGTTTGTACGTTGAGATAGCATGAACAGTGAGGGAAGGTCAATTAGATATAAGCTGGATGTAAATTTTTTTCTTTCTTGTTATTAAAACTTGCACTTTTTTCTAGCCATCTCACAGGCTTTGGGCCTGAATCCTCATTTTGTCACCTTTATCTAGCAGAACTGCTTTCAGGATAGGCATACAACACTTTCCATTCACTGGTGGTGAATTCATAACTAAGAGCCTTCCACCCCCCCCCCCCCCCCACAAATCTGCATGCAAGGCTGCTACAAAAAGAATTTCTCCGTTCAGTTACATAATAAGCAACATGTATAATGAGTCTATTACATAATTTAAAATTTGTAAAGTTGCGGACAGAATTTCAAAACTGGGCTCATTCATTAAGTAATTTCATTTCTTAGCAGGTAACTCAAGGACGCTTCATTATTCTTAGCCATTTCACCACAAGTAAGGATGTGTCAATTGGTGAGAGACCATCTTAAATTAAGGGCATAGATAAGCTTACAGAGAGTGACAGAAAAAGAAAAATCATGTAACTGATGACCTATAATTATTATTAGGCTCAGTATAATACAAATTATAGCTTATTCTGCGCTGTCTAGCAAAGTAGGAAAATTTTCAAGTGAGAGAGTTTAAAGAGCTGACCAGCCTAACCCATGGTGGCTTCCAGAGCTGGCTCTTAAACTCTTATTACCAAAACAAAGGCTGAAGTTCCTTTTAGTTTTCTACACTATTCGAATGCGTCCCTTAGATTTTACGTTACCATTTTTAGTGTGCTTTGTTTTAAATATCAATTATTCCATGGGAAACCCAAGACAGTTCCTGACAAAGTGCTAGTCTGTTTATTCAGAAACTCTTCTAACAACAGTGATGTCTCTCCATGTCTCTGGTAGGCCTGCCCATTTTACTCACTAGCTGGGCAAAAGGGTGGAAACATTGCCATTCATTCTGAGGGTGAGGTATGGTTTTCAGTGAACCTTGACATAGCTGTTTGTCAGCAGAGTGACTGCCTCCCTTGCTGTGACTGAAGGCTAATTTTCTGAGAATGTGGATTAATGATTACGCAGGCTAAAGCATACCCCTTGGGATTGCCTTCCACTTGTTCTTAGAGCCCAACAATTTATTACAGGGTAAATGGGAAGCAATTTGGTAAACTATGTTGTGGTAGCAGCTGGAGAACTGGAAGCTACACATCTATCCGACTAGTCTTGCTTGATAAACTTGCCAAGGTCTGGTCTTTCGCCCGGTGGTTCTAGGTCAGGCTAGTCATCGGTGTAATTGTAGGGCAGTTGTGCCTGCCAGGAACACATATCTGCTTGGTTCTTCCCCCGAGGCAAGAGAGGCTCTGTGAAGCAGGGAGACTGCTGCTATAATGAGCACACCACTTGAAGCCCAAACCATCATCTTCGTTTCAGCAGGCATCACTGTGCAGCATAAGCCTTCCATAACCAAAGCCAAAGAGAGAGGGAGAAGGCCAGAACCTCAGCTATGGGTTGGAGAGAGATGACATGCCTTAAAAAGCATGCACCTTAAAGTAGTAAGGGCTCTCGATCCACTTCAAAAGGCAGCTGAAAGGACAGGGAGCGTGAGCTATCTACCCCAGCTTTTTTCAGGGCTGTATCCACGTTATGTGGAAAGTTCACATGTGCAATGCTGCCAGTAGTACCAAGGATGAAAATTATGCTGCACACAGAAACACCCAGAGCATGCCTAAACTTGAGGACTAGCTGGTTCACTCACACTCTTCTCTGGGAACCGGTACGCAATGCTTGTGCTAGGCGGTCTGGAGTGCTGTGTCCAGTTCTGGACTCCCCAGTACAAGGGAGACATGGCACTACTGGAGAGAGTCTGGCAAAGGGCTACAAAGATGAGGGGACTGGAGCATCTCTCCTATGAGGAAAGGCTGAGAGAGCTGGGCCTGTTTAGCCTGGAGAAGACCGAGAGGGGATCTCATCAATGTGACCCCTTCCAACCTTGACCATTCTGTGGGCCCCTGCTGGACTTGACTTTTACCCATTCAATAACTAAGGAAGCATCTGCTACAAACTTCTAGCTTAGCTGTGTTAGACATGAATGTGATTTGTATCATCGCTTAGCTGTGTGAGCAGACGCCACGAGTCCTGCCAGTAAAATGAGGTAAGGTGTACTTAGCAGATAACTTACTATGCTGGCTAAGGAAAAATCAAAGCAAACGAAAAAAATCAGTACAACTGGAGCTGCAGAGCTTCAAGACCTCACAAACCTGAAACTCATGAGAGCAGGGAAGGAATGGGACACAGAAGGAGCTAAACCTCTAGGTAAAGGGGGCAGCAAAGTAGTTGTAGTCAAATACAGATTTACTGTTTTACATTTTTCCTAGGGCTTTAAAACATTTGAAAATTACACCCTTACCTCATGTAGGCTGCTGCAGCTGTTTGGTTTTTCCCAAGGATATCTTGTACTGAACAGTTTTGCTACACAAGCTTTGCAGTGATGTTGAAGTATTCTGTACTGCATGCATCGAAATAAATAAGAATCACTGAGTTCCCCCTAAAGCCTTCAACATGCATGAAACACTAACCTCCAATTCTGGCTTAAAACCTGTAGAACAAAAGAGACTAAAAAAGAATCCAGGCTACACTTTATTGCAGGTTGTTGGACATTTACGTGCTCCCTTGGGAACTTAACTACATGGCTGTAGCGCATGGGCCTGGAGCTCTAATCTTTTAGTAGTTTCCAAGATTTTTAGTGGCATACTGACTAAAAGCTTAATCACTTAGCTGCTAACACGCACTATGAAGTTCTTACCAGGACTTTTAATATCAAGCAATTCTTGATGTGGTACTGACAGGTTCTTTCACTCTTCCAAGTTAACCTGTCTTGCAAGAGCAATATATAAACAGCACTACCTATTCTGCTAAATTACATTTCTCTGGTGAATGCAGCGCTTCAAATTCAGATACCAAGTAACAGATAAAAAGCACCTCTGAAAGTTTTTTGGCGGACACATAAGAGACTGCCAAAAGTATAATTCAACAGTTATCGGGAGGATAGGCGAGAAACACCCAAACAGGCTTCAACAGAAGATATCACTAATGCCGAAGTGAATTAGTTCTCCCATCTGGACAAACTGAATAATTCAGTTTCAAGGAGAATAAATGTGTACCAAACAAGGTGAGAAGTTCTGGTATCATATCCCTGCTGCACTGAATGTTTTATATCTGGTCTTATTTTCCTTAACCCTCTTATTTTATGTTGCCCACTAAGCTATGTCACTAGGTCATGAATTAAGCTTAAAATATCACAATTAAGCCAGTATGTTTTCCATTGTTTTACTGAAACTGAAAAAGTAGTCTGTACCAAAATGTACACAATTTAGTAATAATACAAAATGTTAATTCTGCAAGACAGAATGTCAGTTAAATTCACCAAAATGAACACTGAACCACCATTTATTGCCAGTACAGTGTTACTTTAAATAATAAGATCACTGAATGAACATAGAAACAAAGTAGTTCCACCTTTCCTTAAATAAAATAGTAGCTATTAACAACAATACTGCAGGAAGATAAACATTCATGATATTTACATGCTATCATACCATATCTAGCATGTAGTATGTTTTCGTGCTTGCACATTAGCTTTATGAGATCATTACAATAATATTAATGTGTTGATATACTACAAAACAACGCATCATGATTTGCATCAAATTTGCACCTTAGAAGAGCACCTTTGCTAGTCACCCCTTTAGAAATGCCACTGCGTTCCTGTAAGAAACCCAGCTCATCCAATTCACTGGTAATTTTCTTTTTTTACTAAAAATAAAGTTAAAAACATCCCAAAAAACCCCAAGCATATGAACAGTTTTCCTTCTGTGATTAGCTAGGCAGGACGATGTATTTAGCAAGCTTCCCAATGGTGAATAAAACCAGGAAAAAAAAAAAAAAAAAAAAAGGTTTCCTGTATTACATTAAGAACACCTGAGGCTGCTTCACTGGTCCAAGTACAGTATTTTAATACAAAAACTGTGTTACATTAACTTGTCATTTCAGTGGATTCCCTTACTAAGCAAGTCTCATTAAAAAAAAAAAAAAAAAAGGACAATGCAAGATTTTTTTCTTAAAATAAATACTCCCCTCCTCAAAAAAAAAGTTTAAAAAGGAATAAAAATGTAAAAAAAAAATTAAAGAACAGTGTGATCTTCTGGCTTTATCTTATCTCAGTTTAAATAGTGGATATACACTTACTCCTGGGGAATGAGTGCAAAACACTAAAAAATTCTGAGTATGTAAACACACTGTAAGAGATTTCTTTTAGAAGTGTAAACATCTGTTCTTGAGTCCTGTTGTTTGAATCCACTCCTATCAAAAGAAGTTTAACAAACTGCATTTACTTAAAGTATTAAACTGTCTGACATATAGTCCTTTTTTGGAGTTACTAGTTTCAGAATTTATTTTATTCTACCCGAACAAAATGACACACTGTTTTTTCCTACTTCAGTACAGGATTATATTTAATAATTTAGCACTCTATACATCACGAGTTTTCCTTAAAGGAATAACCTAAATTATGGAGTTAAAACACTGAATGCTGCTTAGCTGAAAAAGCAGCAAATTAAGTACTATAGACAGACTGATGCGTCTATAAAACTAATGCGACTCAAAATTGTCTCATAGCCTAAACTCTGTTTAAACTGTGAACAAAATTAAAATTGGGAGTTCACAGAAAGTGATTACGCTTGCCATCACTTTAAAAACATACCTTGCTAACCAGAAAATAAAGATGGCAAGGACCAGTGTATTCAAGCCAAGTTTAGATTTTTTTTGTTGTTTTTTAAACGTACAAAGTACATGATACCACTTTTCACCTTGGTAGCAACTAGGAGTTTACTAGTCAAAATACTCTCAACCTATAAAAAACATAGGACTGACCCTTCAGAAAACCACGAACAAGAGTAAGAATTCTAAAGCCATGTTCAAGACCACTGAGAGGACTTCTTTCATGAAGTCATCTCTAACCGCTGAAGAAAGTCAAAGGCATAAGTAGTTTCACTGATCGCAAGTCCATTGATCTTTTAGTTTATCTTCCACAGAAATAATTGAGCTGAAGGTGATTTTCATTCTAAACTTCACAGATTACATTAATTTTTCCTGTGCACCTCATCAGTTGCTAAAACAATTTTTCGCTTCCAAGCTGTTTTAGTATTCAAGCTGCTTTCTTAGCACAGCTTCCTTGAAGGTCTTGCAGATTCATTTTTGACCTAACAAAAACAGTAAGATGACCACATTAGATAGTAATGTATCATTGTAACTATTACATGTTACAATTATTAATGCAATTATTATTGAATCTTCTAGTATAGTTGGAAGAAGGGGGAAACAGCAGGGAAAGACATGGTTTTGCACTTACCTGTTGTGGATCATGTGGCTTTTGACTAGATGCCCAGCTGCAAGAGCTGCCATTAGCGATAACTCCCCTGCCATCACTGTAGCACATACAATTTTAGCAAGCTGACGGGCATTTTCACCAGGATTATCTTGGCTTGCACCTTGAACCCCTAACATCTGGGGAGAAAAACTGCAGTATTATGCTATGAAACTAAAGAACATTTGAGTTTTACCAAATTACATCCAATTGACTAGCTTTAAATCTCCTTAATAGTAAATATATATTAAGCTGTAAAAATTAGATGCTTGAAAAATAGTTAGATGAAAATTCTAGAATTTTCATCTCAAGTCCGTGGAATTTCGAGAGACGTTCTGAAAACATTATTCAGGCACAATATATACAACGTGAAAGCAAGCTTAGATTTAAGAAGGTAAGTTGCTTTAAACTTCCTGCTCTGTACCTGCAAACAGGCCTGCTGTGGGAGCAAGTTGGTGCCTCCACCAACAGTTCCTATTTCTATAGAAGGCATTGTGCAGCTGATGTACAGGTCTTCATTGGTAGAACCAGTTCGCTCCATCAAAGTGATGCAGTTAGAGCTGCCCACGTTCTGCGCAGCATCCTTTAGATCAAGGAGGAAAAAAAAACAAAAACAAAACTCTCAACTAGGTGTCCAATTCAGAATTAACAGAACTAAGAAATGCTGACTTGGTACAAAACAACTTACCTGACCACAAGCAATGTAGATAGCTGTAACAATGTTTGCTGCATGTGCATTGTAGCCACCTATGCTACCAGCCATAGCGGAACCCACCAAGTTTTTGTTTATATTAACTTCAACTATATCTTCTGTAGTAGTCTTCAATACCTAGGCAAAAATGATACAACTTTTACTACACCTTTCCTTAGGCAGGAGTTACAATGCCCTACTTCATGTTAATAAGGCCCCCAAAGTTTAATTCCACACAGAATTTGACACAGCATCCTATATCTACTTTATTTTTGTTCAAAAGAAACCCTTTCAGGTGCAGAGAGTACCTTTCAAATAACAACAGAAAAGTTGGTGCTGAGAGTTTGGACTTGTACAGTCCTCGAAGAGGGGGGAAAAAAAAAAAAAAGCCACCACAACCAACTACCTTCTCTCACTGTTTCAAATACTCATTTATCTTCAGTATGAAATGCACTTTAGAAGTTTGGCCAAAAAAAAAAAACAAAAAAAAAACACCCACAACCCACCCTAAATCCACCTTGACATGACAGCATCTTTCCTCCCAAGTCGCTCCATACACTAAACACTTAATTTTGCTCTGCATAATACAGAACTGAACTGAAGAGCTGTAACAGAAAACGGACATTTGAAAATACACATTCTGTTGCACGGTAACATCAAATTAAGTGACACATTTATAAAATACTGACTGTATTTTGAAAGATTCAGGCAAGAGATTTACACTGAATTTAGTATTAAAATGATCAAAGGGGACAAACACGATATTGCCATAAGCAAAAATCTGTGAAACTCCAGGACGGTAAGAATGGGATCAGACGACAAAGATCTGCACAAGGATCTGTAATACTGATAAAGATACAAAGTAATATAGACAGTTCAGTGCAGATAAACATGGCGATGTACATGGTCAGGAGAGAGGGGAAAAAAAAAAAAAAAAGCCTAAAGCTACTTAAACTATGATGGGCTCCCCACTATTACTCTGGAAAGCAATCTTGGGGTTATAATAGATACTGCTCCGACGCTGCCACTGAAGTAGTCGTCAGAAAGACGAACAATTAAAAAATTAATGGAAAGCAAATCTAGAAAAACATAGTTATGCCAATGTATAAATCTAGGCTGCAAACACACCTTGAATACTGCGTCAAACTGTCTCCAGAATAGAATAGTTGTCAAAGGAAAAAAGTGAGGGTTCCAGCGTCTTCAACATTCACCATAAAATATATGGCACAATATCTTAGAAAATACGGTAAGTGGAAAAATGCCTACGGTAAGATGTTCTCAGTAGAAAAGACTTTTCCATACAACAATAGTCTGAAAACACATGTGGAAGTCATCCTTACAGGGAACATACAAAACTGATTACTTCATAAATATGAAATGTAAGTTAATATATGCACTTTTTGACAAATAAAAGAAAGCAAACACTTACTTCTCTGACAACCTTGGCTGGAATGACTGCCTCACAGACAACAGACTTGCCTCTTCCTTCTATCCAATTTATGGCAGCAGGCTTTTTGTCTGTACAGTAGTTACCACTAATAGCTATAACCTGAAGATCAGGAAACTCTTCATTCAGTCTTGCCAGTGCTTTTTCAGTACCCTGTTAGATGAGGAATAAGTATCGCTATTATGGTTGTAAGGCACATTAATCAAGGACAGCAAAACAGCAAGATTAGATTAAAACTTTAGACCATCAATTAGAGCTCAGAAAAAGAATAGGGTTTTGGGAAGAAATCTGAAACAGGTAACATCACTATCGTTTTTCTAACCCCTTTCAAATATGGGGAATGATAAATTGTAATAAATAAGCCCTTGGTCCTTCCCAGTATGTACGGGCATATGCACACCTTACTGAAGATACAACATGAACCAAGTCAAACCCTGCAGGCATGAAAATAATTAATTTTGGATGAACTGGGAGGGAGCTTCTGTACATTAGGAAGTCAGACAAATTTCAACTATATTTAGTGCCTGTGTATGGCCTGACCCGTTTATGTAATTATTCCGAGTAAACTCTGTATATAACAGTCCGTATCAAAGTCTTACATCAAACAGTACAAGGTTTTCCCTCCCCTTCCCACTAAACTGTGAGTCATGCCTCAGTTTCTTCCACATGCCTGCACTTGCTGCCACTCATCAGACTCCTAATCCTTTCTTCACAAGAACTGCAACAGCAACAGAGTAATTACTGGTGGATAAAAATCTTTGGCCCAAAGAAATGAACAAACCATCCTACATTATCAATACTTTTAAAAAACAAACACACAAAGAAAAACTCCCACACAAAATGACTTCAGTCCTTTTTCTTTCACTGTTCATATCCTGTTCATGTTTATGTGAAGTCAAGTCAAACAGTTTTATCATTTTATAGCACTGCAAACAGAGCTGTGTCTTGCCTGCAAGTCTTATCTCTTTCTGTCTTCACATGCCAGGCAATCACAGATGGGTGGGACGCTATTTATTTGTTCAAAGAAATATATATTTATTAGAAGACTTAAAGAGACTGGACCTTACTTTTGAAATCATATTCATTCCCATTGCATCCCCTGTTTTAGACTGAAAACGGATATAAAGATTACGACCAGCCAAACTGATGAGAAGTTTTTGTAGGCGAGCAAACCTGCAAGAAAATTGAATGATTACTTACAATTCTCAAGGAGAAAGAGCTTTAACTACATTTAAGGGCCTCAATTATTGTAGACGGCACCATTAACCACACTGTGTTCTGCACTCTTCCTCCTTCAGTGGGAAAGTGAACCTTCAGCTATCATGCACATAGTTTTCTCAAGATAAATACTTTCAAACATAATGTTTCACTGCTCCTGAAAGTGAACCACGAAACGTTTCACTGGCTCCTTATGTTTTCTAGCCCTGGACTTCATGAAATATAGGCTCTTGAAGTGCTAACATAAATTTTATCCCTCTGTCCCGAAATATCTGGCTACTGACTACCAACTAAAAATGAGGACTTCGAAAATTTGTGTGTCTTTTGCAGCAGGGCAAAAACCATTTTATCTTCCATAAAAGTGCAAGCTCCACAAGTCAAAGCTTTATTCATGCAGACTAAAGGCCAAACAAAAACTGGAAAATACCGCTTTTAAACAGCGGGACAAATGGCTCTTTCTGAAATACACACATGTCCTTGGCTGACACTCGTAAGATTGATAAGAAACGTAACTGACATGACAGTCTTTCTCTAAATGTTCCTAAAGAAGGCAGGTAATCACAAGTCATGGAAGAAAGACTTGGACTTAAAATACACTTATCCTTGACACTGTTTTACATTTCTTAACGTTTCAGCTCTAGCATTAGTTTATCCTATGGGATTTGAAGCCTAGCAGATTAATTATTAACACCTTATACCATATGAAATCCTAGATTCCAATCTTTAAGCTACTTTTAAGCATAGCAACTACTAAAAATCCCAGTGAGCTGTACATTTATTTTATAGTCTTACACCCAATAAAAACGTATCAAGTATTACTCAATACCAGCTTACTTGTTACTATGATCCAGTCATTTACTGCTTATCACCAGAAGATATTTATCACTAGCCTCGACAGATAACCATAGCAACAAATTAGAAAGATACTGCTGTTTTCTTAGATTCATGCTACATGGGACAGCCAAAATGAGTATGTAATTTCCTACACAGTACACAGAAATACAATTGGGAGCTTTCTAAGGTCCAAAGTCTTGCATCAGGAAATAAGGCTCAAGTAACCATTGTACTAACCTACTTGTGCTGTCAAAAGCTTCTTTTATCATCTTAAACCCTTCAGAGCTTTCAAGCCAAACTTTCACTTCTGCAGCCTGGCAAGCAGTGGGGAGCCTTACAACAGGCCCTCGGGTCATCCCATCTGCTAGAATACGACTGCTTGCTCCTCCACCAAGCTAAAATCAAAACAGAAATGAAACAAGATTACTGAAACTGAGTTTTAGATTTTGGGAAGCCAAAAACATGCCTCAAATCCTCCCCATGCCAAAAAAGGCATAAGAAATGCTTTGTATTATAGGAAGTTTTTAAGCTGTTCAAGCAATTAAACAGTCAACCTTCTTTCTAGGAGTTACTTACGCATATTGCTCTACATCCTCTATTTGTGCTTGCCACAAGACATCCTTCTGTTGTTGCCATTGGAACTTGAAACTCTTTGTTATCCAAGAACAGTGGCCCTGCTACGCCTACAGGAATAGGCATATAGCCAATCACGTTTTCACAGCAAGCTCCCATAACCTTACAAGAACAATACAAAAGTTATCATGATGGTTATATGTAACACTCTAGCACACTATATACGTCGCTACCAAGAGATATCTTGGCAAAAAACCCACAACCCTACCCATGAAGCAACTAACTCGCGCCTCAATGAGTTAAAGCCTTAAGTTCCTCCTCCTATGACCAGCTCATCAATGAAATGGAATACTTTGTACAAATTATTTTATTTGGTTATAAAATGATTATCAAACTTCAAGTATTAATAAGCTGTTCTAATTCGTTTCAGCTATTTTATAGCTACACCTATCAACAGCTGCTACTGTTAAAAAGCTATTATTTGATAGACCTGTTGAATCTTATTAAGTCTTAAATACTATTAAAACAATTTTGACTTACTGTTAAATGATTTTAAAATAAGCTTCCATTTTAACCTGAGCTCAAGCTAACATTTTCACTCAACTAAGCACAGGCTTAGTGTCAGCAGAATTCCATGTTTATGAGATAAGGATACCTCTGTAGGGAATTATTCTTTTGGTTAAGCTACAAAAATTAGGTTAAGCTACCAAATTGCTAGCAATACACAGTAGTGCTTTATATTTGAAATTTATACAGCAGTTTTGACCAAGCTCATTGTTAATTCATATACAGCACTTTAAGCAGATATTTCATATTTGGAAAATGGTTTTACAGTGAACTTTGCTTGTCTGCCTTCTACTTACCAAAGAGTAATTATAATTCCTATAAGGAAGATACTGCAAAGATGAAGGTTCAGGGAGTTTCTTGGATAACATCTGTCTACGAATGGACACACCACGCTCCTGAGTTTCCATCAAGGCTTCCAGTTTGTATGCAGGAATATGCTTAGCGTTAACTAAACTGATAACCTCAGCATCAGTAAGGAATTTTGCACCCTTCTGGAAATGGAAAGGATGGGGGGGGGGAGGGGGGAAAAGTAGAGATTCTCTTGGTGAAAATAGTTTGAAATATTTCCAAATGAGAAAGGATAGTAACTGTACTGTGACCATTATCAAATGATATCCAAAGAAGCCAGCTGCCAGTGTGAAGTTTTATAGCAGGCAAGAATATTGTCAAAACCCTTTCATTCAGACACCCACTCATATCCATGATTTACAATGAAGTTTGAATTACTTGGTATGTCATGAATGTAGAAGCTGCCTTTTTGCCCCCTCTCATCTTGAGAGTAAAGAGGGAAGACTAATAATAAATTATTTACAACTTGAGAAAAAACAGACAAATACACATTTTCTGTCTGTATTACAAAAAAAAAAAAAAAAAAAAAAAAAAAAAAGAAGTAATTCAGAAGCAGAAACTGACTGGAGCGGAAATGACTTCTAAAAGGGAAGGAGAGTGATCCAGCATTCTACGCCGTAATATTTCCACATTCACTCAGTTATAAAAGCTCTATAGTTCTCTGAAATAAGATATCACAATCAAGAGGATCATTTAAATGCCAGAAAACGAATTTTAGGAGTTCTTAAATGAGAAGTTACATTGGCAGTTTAAAAAAAAAAGTTATTTTTCCATACCTCTGCATTTCCAAGTATACCAACACATTCCTCGATAGAACGTGGTTCCTTAGGTAACTCAATTTCTTCCTCTTTTCTATTAAGAACTGCAGAAGTTTCCACAGGGTTGCAACTGCCAACTACAAATGTAACTCTGGTTGAAGACTCTGCTAATACAGGTTTTATGACTTCAGCTGCATAAAAACAATTAAAATGAACTTCAGTTTACAAAAATCTTAAGTTTTGGTTCTAAATACAACATGCTGGACAGAATTCACTATTTGATATAAATATCTGGGAATAGGTTCAGACTAATGCTCCAAATTACCATTTCCATCTTTGGCAATTAAAGTTTCTTCTACTGTGTTAGATTTCTGATTGTTTTTCAGAAGTCCAGATTGTTTCCTGCAACAATTCTCAGGGACCTTTTTCTGAACCATCACTGGAGATGTTATGGGATTCTTCAGTGAGAGTGTGGATTCAGTCTCTGTTTGTTCAAAGAAAATGTATTTCACAGCAAGAAGAAGGGCTAATCCAAGAGTGATTACTTGCTCAATATCCATACTGGCCATTCTTTTAAAAAAAAAAAAAAAAAGAGACCAATCAAGTAATAAGTACATAGTATATACACAATCTGTTATTTTATAACAACGTTCTAACATCTGTTTGCTTTAGAAAGGCTAAGAGTTTGATCATCATTTTTACAGTTACTGTGATTCTAGTCAAATGATGTTTTATAATAGAATATTCAGGTATGCTAGATTGGGGTAGAGAAATCATTCTTTGTATTATTAACACTGTAAGAAGTTTCAGTCGTCCATAAACTTTTACTAAATCTTAGTTTAAAAAAAAAAAAAAATCCAGTGAGGGAAATTGCTGGAAAATATTCAGTACTGAACAGGTAAGCCATATTCATTTAACACCTATCTCTAAATTATGAAGCAGAAAGATTCAGTTACTATCCTCTGCCAGTCAGGACTACTATGATGTAAGCTAAGCTGCCAGGAGGGAGAAAAAAACCTCAGAGATATAGCACTGAGTTTTCAGAAGAAATATGGAATCACAATTTCCACTTCAGCTGAGCTGTGGGCCAACAGCATCTTTGCACTGCACAGTATCTCTTATTTTTAGATAGAAAAAAAAAGCACAAGGAAAAAGAATAATGACAGGGACTATTTTTTGCACTTGTGTGAGAAGGGCCAGAAATTCTGCAAAAATAATTAACTCTCGTGCTGTCAAAAAACTTATTTTCTAGTCTGGTCTGAAATGTGCCAATGCTAGTGGGAAAAGACAGTCTTATGATGCATCCAGAACAGCTGGTTCCTGATCATAATCGTACTATTTTAAGAAGATCGTAAGAATAGCGTAATATTGAAATACTCTTGATAACATGTCGTCTCAGGTTCTAAGAAATCCTACAGCAGCCAGACCTGCTAGTTTACAACAGCACTGTGCCCTAAGGCCATCGCTGGCAGCACTGAGAATACACCCTAATCAATGAAATACACTTCTCTTCTGTCAAGTCACCTACCGAGAAAGATAGAACTGCCATAATGAAACATTGGGTTCAATTCTCTTTGGTGCATTCTCATCCAATCCCACTGAGTTTTCTACAGTGCTGTTCTGAGCAGCTGGTTCTGCTATCCAGCGACTGTGGGCATGAACAAGAACCAAACCTAGTGACTGTATTAAAAAAGCAAACAAACAGAAAAAGAAAATTACTAAGTTTTCAACTGTAACTAGGCATCTAACCTATTAAGATTAATCACTTATTTTTTACTTTAACTTCCCATGACTCAAAAGTCTAAGGATAAAGGCTAATATGCCACGTTTCTTGTCAACACTATTTTTCAGTAGTATATTCATTTACATACACAACCTTTTGCTGGTTCCCTATAGAAACAAGTGTTTTACAATTACACAGTTTGAAATTTGGCTAATGCAACCAAAAGTTATTTGGGCACGAGGAAGACTGTCAGACAAATCAAACAGAGAGATCTCCAACATACCAAGCTTTCACCAGTTTTATGAAAACCGGAAACGCAGGGGAAGCAGGACCTATCATGTCCAAAATGAAGGAAGGCTGCAATGTTAGCTCATCACGTTTTCTTTAACTTCTTTTCTGGCTTATCATAAGACTCATAGCTTTGAACCAGTCCCAGCACACCCTTCCCCTTGCTCAAGTAATAAGAGGAGAAAGCTGAGAGTATTGTACAGGAAACAGGGAGGAAATTAGGGCACACGAAGAAGTGACCAGTTTTGCAAGCATAACTGGCATATGCAGGAAGACTTTAGGTGTAGGTATAGATGATGTTAGAATTACAAAGATGAGCAAGAGTACTGGCATACAGGATGCAAGTCTATAGGAAACAAAAGCTTTATTCACTGCAGAAGATCAGCTTATTGATTACATCAATACAGATGAAAAAAGTCACAAACCATGATCATTTTGACCCTCTGTGTTACAGGGTTTGGTTTATTTTCTTCTTCTTCCAGAACACGAGCAAAATGACTAAGCTGCCATATAGGACGCCCTTCACGACTCTCTCGAGAAAGCTGCAGAGATGACAATTTAAAAATAGGTTCTATTCAGCACATGTCTGAAGAGATACAATAAACAAGCTTGTATTTTTATTTTATTATTAAGACTCTATCAACAAGAGAGTGAACCTACACTAGACTTTAAATAGTTGAAGACCCTGGACAGCTATTAGTTTGAAGCACAATTTGTTAACCTTCAGTTAGATCAGAACTGACACTATTGATTGAGACTGTGACAGTGGGGTAACAAGTTACTGCACATCAGTTAAGCCACGATAACTTTTCTTGTACATGTCCTCTTGTCTGCTTTAACAGGAAGACAAACAGGCTGGCGTATACCTCAATGAAGAAACGTGCGTGGCCTGAACGTTAAGTTAAGACGCTCTCTTGAAGTTGGTCTTACCTCTAATACCAACGACACACAAGCCGGAAAGAAGGTCATGAAGACAAAGTAGTTGGCAAGAACAGACATACAGCCAAAGCAGCACATAATTTCAAGTTGTCGTACCCCTACATGGTAAGAAAAAAAAAAAAAAAAGGGTTTTTTTCCCCAAATATTTGAATATGCAACAGGATTCTGTATATTTAGAAAGCGTTGCAAAAGTAAGAAGGAAATCATTACATTGACACTGCAGATTAATGGAAAACAAGCGTGTTTAGCCCCAACCATTCTGCAATAACTTACTTTAAGTTAATGCAATATGTGTTTATCCTATTTACAGATAATTAAGCGTAAAGCCAAACATACACAAAAATTATTTTACAGTTTACCTAAGATGTTTTAAAGCTTTAAACATAGGATTTCTCTTAAATTCTAAAGCTTCTCACTGGAAGCTTGAAACTTCTTCCTCAACTAAGCAAAGAACAATTTGCCAACATATCATGGATTTAAGTTCCTTGTAAAAGACGGCTGGTCAAGTGTTCAGGGAATAAGAAACAATACTCACCCCACCTACTCTTTGATAAGCCTAGCATCCAGAAAAAGTCAATATACTATGTCACATATGCATTACACAACTCCCTTAATAGAGGTGAAAGAGTTAACAATGTAAATCATTTAAAAGGTCAGCTGCCTGCCACACCGAAATAAGGGCTTTTTTCTAAACAAACAGGAAAACAACTTATTAACCCCCCTCTCCCAAAGGTCCAAAACAATAAAAATAAATAAATACTTTGTAAGACACCATTAAAGTATGCAAGATAAAGAAAAGATTAAATCTAATTTAAGGTTTTTTTAATATACGACTGCAATGTATTTTAAAAATAAATGTAATAAATAAAGGATAATTGGTTTAACTGTTCTCTTTTTAAGGAGAAACAACTGTTACTGCACACATCTGGTGAGATCGAAAGATAGAAAAGAAAAAAAATTGCTAAGAAGCTGATTATTTTTAATTAAATAGACTAATATTATTTAGCTTGTAGTTATCTTTAGAAATATCTGTTTTCACAAGCATATGAAACAGGTGTATATGTACTTAAAGTGTCACTAATTTTAAAAAATGCTCAAGGGGAAATTCTAGCAGTTGCTTTAAAATGCTACAGGAATTATGTATATCATACAAGGTCTTAATTTTATAAAGATAGCTGCATGAAAGTCCATTGTTACTGCATAACATTCAAGGAAAGCTAAACGTAAATCTGTTTTTCAAATTTCTCTTGAACATGTAGACTATTATTCACACCTGCATAAAACTAATAATATAAGCCGTTTAGAAAAGGAAGTAAATAGCTGAATAAATAGGTTAGGTCACTCCACTCTCACAGATAACACCTATCACTTGAAACCCTGAATATCCCAATGTCTTTCAAACAGTCTTCTTTAACCTAAAAGGTTTATACCCTTAGACTTTATCACTCACCTGACATAGTACCAACACCAATAACAAGACACTCCACAAGGGCATCCAGTGTAAATGTAGGGCCTAAAATTGCCATTCCACGTGAAATATTTTCTCTTACTTCATCCTAAAAAGTATAATTTCTGTACATTAGCATAAAGATGAATGAAAAGTTGCATGAAGATTTGGTTCTTGGAAAAGCAGGCTCTATGATGAAAACTATCAAATGAAAACATGAAGCTATGTTAAGCGAGCAAGGAGACTGGATTCAAAATAATGCTTCAAAGTTTTCAAGTCCCTTTCCAATAGGGCAAAAAAGGAGTCAGGCCACAGAATAAATCATATGGATTGTTTCTTCATAAGGGGTGCAGATACTATGATTAATAAACTCAGTATTATTACAGTGGTAAGGCTTTATACAATACACTGAGAAATTAACTACTGTGAAAGAATATATTTGTTAATCATTACAGTTCATACAAGCTATTATATTTCAACAGTCTTTATACCACAAGAATATTTAATTGTAAAAGTCTCCATTTTTGACTGATGCGTAGTCGAAGCCCCTACAAAATTGATGGGCAAAGACTTTAAGCGTTAAGCTCTAAACTTTAAGATATATATGTACGCGTGCGTGCATGTGTATTTTAAAAACAAACAAACAAACCCCAGAAAACCCACACTTATCGTGGCATCTCAAAAACTCTGCAACCACATCTCTGTACCCTAACTTTATTTACTCTCTAGACTCAGCTGACAGAAGTGTGTACCCTTGAGGGTGGGAAGACGTTCTTTTCCTTTTCTTCGCAGCATGTGTCGTGCAGGATGCATGCGCGCATGCATGTGCGAAAACCTATCTGTGAAACACTTCCTTGACAATAAGTACTTTTAAAAGAACTCTACAGCCTATAATACAATAATATACAATAATATAATAATAGTATATTATTATATACTATTACAATATTGCATACGTAATATAGTCACATTATGATCAATTACCTTGTACAGTATTTTTAGATATAAAGTAATTTCACTCAAAAACCTTTATTTCAGAACTTTGAACATTAGGAAATAACTATTCCCATGTATGGCTAAATTTACTGTTATTTCTTCACGTTGGGCTATGTGAAGTGCATTAGAGCATGAATGCGTCTATATACATATATGCATGTGCCATTGTTCTGCTTTTCCCTCTAGAAATATGCTTTTCCCTGTATTTGCACTGTAACATTAGATTTCTATTTACATATTGTTCCTAAGCCTTATGAATTCGCTTTCGTTTTTATATCAATAACTGCTCTAATGAAGACTTTGGTCTAGGAATTCTGGCTGCCTTAAAGGGCAATGCTTGTAGTTCTTCCACAGAAGCTGACATCCTAAAAATACTCATATATACAACTAATTTAGCTAAAAGATAATACAGAATATCTGGACTAAAGCTAATCCTTTTTGTATTTTACCACTATAGTAGTCATCCATATATTTCTCCACCTGGGGTATTCATCTTTGCATTTTAAATTCAAAAGCTGCGTTACAAAACAAAACCAAAAAAAACCCTTACCCATCCACCACTACACACACACACACACACACACAGAGAGAGAGAACAAAAAACTGACCTGTGAGTTGGAACTAAGTGCAAATTTGGCTAATGCACTTGCTCTTGAAAGATCAATCAGAAGAAGGAAGAACGGTAAAGCTTCACTGAAATAAGAGGAACATGTTAAGAACAAATTCAAAGTTTACCGGGGGGGAAAACATTTCAAATAAGAAGTCCAGAGCAAGTATCCATTACTTACTTTAAACCTGTGAGTTCTTTATCCAAGAAGTGAATTACCACTGTACTAAAAACAAAACTTGAGAAGATTGTGAAAAGGCCAGCAATACCTTAAAAAGCAAGCAAACAAAAAATATAGAACTATTATATGTATAAATAATACCTTTAGATCATTTCTGAAGCAAATAAATCTAGATCACATACACAAAAGCTGATACAAACTGAGGTGAATGCTGTTTTAACATGGCTTTTTAAAATCTGTGATGCATTCAAATTAATTTTCTGAGAAATAAAAGCCATAAATCTCTCCTTTCTTATCAGCAAAAATAAAAATTGGCTTAAACAGTTTCACACAATAAACAGTTATTTCAAGAATTACATTTCCAATGTTTATATAATACTACACAATCTCTCACAAAGAATTGCTTTCACCTATGCAGAACGCCAATATTTATCGCGCTGTCTAGCAAAGAGATAAAATAAGCCAATCCTGTATTTAAGTATTAACATTCTGATACTCATTATCAATTCTTATTAAAAATACAATTTAAATGTATAAAGCAAATAGAAAGTCAGATACACTACCTAAAATGTATTTTGACCCAAGTTGCCTTAGATTCTGGAACTGGAAGTATATGTAAAGGATTGCTATACAGCGGGTGATTGTCAGGATTATGATGTCACTGCTCAGAACATCCTGTTTGAAATACAGAGTTGATTTAGTTAACTTTTACATTAAGAGGTACCTTGTTAAACTTTATTAACAAGATTTAAATTGTTAAGCTGCACCGAAAAAAATATGAGATTTTGGAATAAAGTAAGCATCGCTGTTAGCCTGTCTTTTAAAAGAATTAAAACATTGCCAACAATATTAACAGCAAAATCCTTCCTGTTCACTAGATATCCAACCAAAAAAAATCTATTTCATGAAAACCTCCTGTAGCTCACTACCACTTGCATACAGCTTTAATATCCAGCATGGGAAAAAGCAGGCAATAAAGAAAGGAATTTCTGCATAACTGCTTTGCTTTTAATACATCACAGCCTGTTCTTATTGTACAAAAAGCCCTACATTTGAAGAGACATTTCAGGATCCACTGATTAACGATAACTATTATAACTTGAATTTAAATTCTTACTTCTTCAAGTTTTGGGCATTCGTAATTCCAACCACAGATCTTATCATTTCCAGTGAACATCTTCATGGACATCATACAGATGGTGAGAGTCACTGTTCCCACAATGACTTCCCATGGATGAGAGGCTACAAAAAGGCCATGCATTCGAAACAGTCTGGACAACATTTTCGAGATTGTTTTTCTATACCTAGAAAACCTGCAACACAAGAATGTTTCATATAAGCAAGCCGAAGGGAAATAATAATTTCCTGCAAGTCACCTCAAAATCTGTTTTAAATATAAAATATATTATTATATTTTATTTTAAAAACATATTTATCCTGTAATAGAATATGATCTGCTCTCCTGCCTTCTCAAGCCACAAGTTTTTACATCTCCCTTGTGTCTTTAAAAAATTTTTTTATTAACATCTCAAAGTCCCAAACAGAAGTTAACTCTCCTCTCCTCCACACTCTTATCAGCGCTGGCAGCTCTTAGCATCCACTACTGCCACACGATTTTGATACCACTTTGACTCCAACGTCTTGTTTTGCACCACCTCTCAACGCAAGCACTCACTGAAACCTGCTATTTCTTTGCTCGCTTTTCCTATTAAAATCTTGATTAACTTTACCTATATAAATTACCAACATAGCATGTGCCAACTCCAACAGCAGTAATTTCAATGTTGTCTTTCTCTGATTGAGTCTGCTCTTCTTCCTGCTAAATATTCTTTAGTGATTCGATTTAATCACATTCAAACAGTTGTTCTTCTTTCATCTCAAAAATATGACTCCTTCTCACGTACAGCGTTCTGCCTACAGTTCTCTTGCACCTGTAACTGATTCCCAAGTTACTGATGCATTTCATCATCCCTGTATGCTTTCAGTAGATAATAAACACTAAGCAGAAACTTTCACACCTCTGCTTCACGGAACTGGTAACATGGATGTTCTGTACATCCCTCAGTTACAAAAACTGCACCCTAGTCTATTTGCTCTGTGTTGTACCTTTAGACTCTAAACTAGTCAAGGATGTTTATTCATGTTCTGTAGTACAGAAATAACATGCCATAAAATTCTCTTAAATATATCAGTACTGACATTTTGCTTTCTTTCTCATTGCCTATAACCAAAAACATGTAAAGCTCTACAATGAATTTTAAATGTATAACTATATCTTTAAAAGATGCTTAAATAATAACCTGACTTTATAGAGACTACCTGTTCATTATTTACTGGCACAAACCTAGTACTATGGAGACTCACATAGGGGATTGAGGCCTCGACACATTATCATATCAAAGAGGATAAAAATCTCTTTATGTTATCTTAAAGGTAACAACCTATCCCCTAAGCTTCAAGGAAGACTGTCTAGTATTGTTCCTTTTGCTTGGACATCATAAACGATGGTGCAATTGAATGGGAACAGAGGACTAACGAATCTGCTTAATGTTTCTGAAGAATCACCTTTAGCAGAACGCTCTCCTACCATCGCCAATCCTAATGAAATAGGCATAAGTAGCACCAATATATTTTCCTTGATCCTTCCACAATGAAGGCGTGGCAGTATTTTTGTGACTGATGGGAATACTGGAACCAACTGGGGAAACATCACAGACTGCCTTCCTCAGGAACAAATTCTTTCCTTCCATGGCAGGAGGCTTTATTTCTTCCTTTCCCCCCCCCCCCCCCTCCCCAAAAAAAGTTCTTTACAGTCAACGTTATCCTTGGCTTTACTCTGTACAATATAATGCATATTCTCCTTTGTAAACTTATGTTCTTGAAAAACTTCTATTCCATAGTGGTATTACAGACTTTCCTCAGCAGCATGGAGGGCATATTTTAATTAAAATTCCAGAATAAAACATAGCCAGAGAAACGTTTTAGTGCCAAAGACTTTGAAACAAAACAAAAAGAATAGAAAAGGCCTAGCAATAGCCTAAGGATAAAAATTACTAATGCCTTGGAAAAACCACATTATTCTAGAAAAATCAGAATTAGTACCTACCACATGACAATACAAAGTTCTATCAGCTCTAAAATTAATAATGCAATGCCGAATGATTTTTGACTATATGATTTTGACTATCAGAATTTTATTTGGGCAAATAACAAGTTGATATCAGATTTAGAAAGATTCCAAAATCTTTCCTCAAATACTTATTTCTGACATCTATAAGCAACACAAACAAAATTCCTGTGTTAATAAGTGTAAAATAGCTCCGCAAAAAAAATCAGGGAAAAATGCATTCATTTCATTATGAAAATAACTATCCATGATATCTATTATTAGCCAACATTTTACAATTAATTACTTATACCAGTACATGATATATAGGATGCATCACTGCTAATCCTCGGCTCCTCTTACATTTCTAAAGCCTTCATGCCTTTTTTTTTTTTCCGCTTTTTAGCTGACATTTCTAGAAAATTTTAAAGGAAGACTTCATATACAGATCTTGTATACATACTGCACTACTGAGTCAAAAACAAAAAAACCCACATATGATTAGCTCACATTCCTAATTCTGTTAATAATGTTTTCATTGTTAACCTGACTTATAGCCTGAAATTAACAAGATATATCTTTAAAAATAAAGGTAAAATTTAACAGTATTTTGTTAAATCTCAAAATGGTCGTTCTAAAGAGATGCCTTATAAATCTCACCTACTTCCTTTCTGCCTTCCTTGTTGAATCAAAAATTGCCAGAAAAATATTAAGTAATGCAGTCTAGAAATCAAAACAAAATACAAGCAAGAAGTACTGCAGCCTATTCAAAAACTTTGAACCAGAGCATACAAGGTAAACTAGACTGGTTGTATGTAATGTTTTAGAGCACTGATCTACCACTTAACTGTATGACTATTCAGCTGCAATACCTAAGATTTGTAACCCAGGTCTCACCTCAGAGCAATCCTCTGCAATACCATTTATAAGATGAGCACAAACTCCCCATCCTGTGTTGCCTGACTCAGCAACGGCTACAGTATTATAAAGGAACGGGGGGGAGAAACGGTATCCAATCCAGAGATCTCCCGAAAAAAATATCTGACACAATACGGACAACTCAAACCGTCGAAGTAGAGCTATGTGTGTGTAGAGAGCCGACCCGCACACACGCGGCTCCATCCGCAGGAGCAGCTCAGCCCTCTACGCAGGGCGGGGGAAGCAGCCCCGCAGCCACCCCACGCACCTCTCCTGCCGGGCGCACACACGGCACGGCACGGCAC